GTGAATGAATAGTGGAATTGTAAAGCGCTTTGAGGGGTCCCGAAAAAGCGCTATATAAATGCAATCTATTATTATTATAACTAGATGCTATAATGTGCCTAAGGGCAATATCGTTTTTATACTTTTACACCACTTTAAAGTATAAAAATATCATTTGAAAATATATATTTTTGTTGCAGTTTACCAGCTCATTTCGTATATTATAAGCTTTAACGAAAACAAGGAATTTATAGTGAAACAACTACCAGCTCAGTTCCGTGTTTTGCTCCCAGGTATGCTTTAGGTACACAGTCGCGTCCTAAATGACCCTTTCCAAGTCCCAACATAATACAAACTCAGAGGGTGCAGCTGATAAGCTGTAAATGTGTAACCTAATTCTGGGTATGTCGCTTTCACAGAAGCATCTAATAGGATAAAAAAATATATGAAAATGTTACATCACAGCCAGTGAATCAGTATTTATTTGTTTATTCACCAAATACTTTGAAATGCTTTTAAACAATATTTAAATTTAGAATTTTCTCTCTTTGTTAGCATGTTTGATTGCTAGCTGAATAGCCGGTGATCCTATTTAGAGAGACGTTTTCCTAATTAATCAAAGATTACGATTATTTGTCACGATTATTCATTAAGTTTATGACAAAAATGTAAACATAACACATCTTCAGATCTATATAAATCGTTGTAAGACAAAATGAATCAGCGGAGCACTGCTTTTACTTTTGGATTATCCTAAATTTTGCAGACAAATAATAATATAAGGTTTTTCACTCGACTGAACCTACATGATGAATGTGACTAAAACTCGTAGCAAAGTTCATGCATCAGCTAGACTCCAAATTAGTGTCTTTCAGGCCTTCAGATGTGTTACTTGTGTTGCTTTGGGGTGCAGACGCACAGCACTCTTTGGATATGATTTCTTCTTGGTTACCTCACGTGCACTAAATCTGAAGTATTTCCAAACAACAGTAATGATCTTCTTCAAGGGACAAGCTCTTTGCCTTCTGTTGTGCCACAAATTTGCATTTGTTATATACTTGTCCAGAAACTTTGCTGTGCAGTGTGGGAGTGACTGTGATTGGCCCATGCATGCATGCATGTGGCTGGGCAGCGATTTAGAGTGCATTTGATTTGCTTTGTGTTTTAAAACCGCAAAAGCATACTCGATCATGCTCATTTAATTATTGGAAGCCAAAATAGTGATCAGACCTAAAATCCAATTAATTGTGCAGCTTAATCCTAGTATATATTTTGGCCCTCAGTTGCTGTTAGAATTAGTTTCAAGCTGGTTAGAGGCCACTCTTACGTCTGGAGCAGATACTTGTTGATGCTGCTGGATTTCTGACGAGCCCAACTGAAACTACTGAATTTGCTCATTTAGAGTTGAGGCATAACACAAAGCCAGTCCTATCACTCGGTTACTGAAGTGTCACCCATGACTTCCTCTAATGTTGTTCGACTGTAAGGTTGATGAGTTTCCCTTTGGTTGCAGATCTGTTCCTGTTGTTGTTGTTGTTGTTGTTTTTTTAAAATATTGTTTACCTTGTAAGTATGATAATTGTGTTTTAACAACAGTACAGTACGTTAACTGCACATGCATCAGTGTGTTGAGTTCATGACTTTCTTATCACTCTCACAGGGGGAGAAGCTGTTTGTCTGGTTGCTGCAAAAGCTGAAAGTCCCTGTTGGCCTGGCTTTATTATCGCTGGCTGATCTGTAATTGTAGACATGGTGTACACGTTTGCAAACCTGCCACAAGTCTCACCGTATGTGTTGAGAGTATTCTCATAAACGAATCGGTGAGCCATCAACATTCAGCATGGACTCAGTGTAAAAAAATCAAGCCAAGATTTGCTGTTCTGTTAAAAACTTTCATCCACAAGTTGCAGCGACAGCACAAAGAGCATTGTTGTCATATAGCGTCATGCATTTGGCCTGTTAACCGCCCTTAACAACACCCTTAGCCTTGGACTATGAGCCTCCAATTCACACAGCTGGGACTATAGGCCTGAACCTCTGCAGTAATTGGAGCAGGCTTAAGTCTTCAGTAACGTGCAGCACTTCTTGTTGCCTAGCTACAAACAAACCTGAGTTGTGCAATATGGAATCTCCCCAGAAGCTCTCAATATAGAGATGAATATTTAAAAAAACACAAAAACATCACACTGAAAGGAGAACATCCTGTTTTTTGGTTTTTGTTTTTTTAAGTGAAAGGATATAAATACTTCTATTTTCCATTAAAAAAAAAAAAAAAAGACATGAAATTAAAAAAATCACTCATATTATAAGACACAAGTTCGGACCTGTAGCAAAATGTCAAACTGCTCAGCTTGTATCGATTGATTAATTTTGCTAAAAGCGCTTTTTAAAAAATGTTCTACTTGTGCTGCAGACATCTATAAATCGCTTCTTTAACTGCACACGGGAGCAGTGTGTTCTCTGCAGCTTCCTCAGCAGACGTCGGTGTGAAATGTTGCTGAGAGACTGTTTTGGAACAAGAGAGCGACTGGGTGTGTTGGCAGACTCCTCGCACCTTGAGACCTGCGTCAGTAATGATACAATGTCTGTATGCATCTAAGTGTCCCTTGCGTAATTCATCTCCCGACCGGTGCTGTGTCATGAGACTGCAATTGAATTGGCAATAACAGGCCGTATGCCATACTGTACCATTAGTGCTTGTGCATGCCCCTCATGGTGTTGGCCTCGGACAATAATTTGCTGTCTTTGCTTTGTCTTTGTCCTATTTGTTGCTTGCTCAACCACGGTGCTGCTTGAAGAAGACCGTGTTTAACTGCACACTCTCTGCTTAGTGGCTCTTTTCTAACCTCTTGTTTCATGCAGTCATTTCTAATGAATGCAAAGTTTCAATTAGCAATGCATTTGAAGAAGTATATCTTAAAAAGTAAATTGAAAAAAATATAAATTGTTGCATCAGTTACATGCATCATTTTCCAGCATCTTTAACAATATGCTTATAACAGGACATCAACTCTTTCCTTTCCGTTGCTCATACCGAGGCTGCTTGCTTGTAATTGCCTGTTAAAGTGATACAGAGCTTTTTTTTTTTTTTTGTTTAAAGCTTCTTTAAAATTCTCCTCCTACAAACAGTTTACTTTCAGAGCATTGTATCTTCACTCGCAGTCAAGACCTTCCACGCTAATAATGTTAGAATGTGTGAGTGAGTGAGTATTTGTCTGTGCTGCTGTGAGTGTGTCATGCATGCATGAAACGGACCGACATACGGGATCGATATTGCAAGCCTTATTTACATATTAGTACTGCACTTTTTTTTTTTTTTAATTGTACCTCTACATATGGTACTTTTCCTATACAAACTTGAATCCCAAGTTGAGAACAAGGCAGCAAAAGGCTGCAAAAGTTGTGTAATAATGCTACAAAACGGAAAAGTTATTTGCAACTAGTTGGCAACAGGATAAAGAAGAGCTGCTAGAGGGATTGAGTCTTAAAAAAAAAGATGTAAAGAATGTTTTCTCTTGCAAAGAATTAGGATTTTGGACACAAAGCAATCATAAAATGATTATCTGTGAGCTATTACCAGGCCCATCCTGAGTCCCTGATGTTAAAAGTCCACCAGCAAAATGTTCACAGCAAATTCCAAACATGTCAAAGTTATAACTAGGGATGGGTATCGTTTAGGTTTTATCCGATACCGGTGCCAAATCGGTACTTTTGAAACGGTGCCGGTGCTTAAACGGTGCTCGAACCGGTGGAGAACACAAAATTGGTCCAAAAACCTCTCATGTTCAGCTGTTTTTTGTAAAAAGATAACAATGTTAGCCTTTTCTGCAGCTATGGGGCATATATGGTATCACTCTTGGCTGGAAGCAGTGCTTAAACAATGGAAAAAAACAAAACTTTGTCCAAAACCTCTCATGTTTAACTGTTTCCCACTTTTTCTTTGGTCATTTTAGCCTTTTTGTCCAGGGTGAAGGGAGTATCTGCCATCAAACAAGAAGACAGCCGCATGTAGCTATGATGATGTTTGCTAGTTCACCTTACCTGCATTAATGTAATAACGTGGTTAGCCTACTCAACGTAAATTACACTCGAACAACATTAAGCGACTCACGCAGAGAAGAACGGCTGCTGCCATCATCATCCTCATCATTTCTGCTACACTGGCAGGGCTAGGGGCCAGGACTCTATTCTTCGTGTTTTTGGGGGATGTTGCTCCGGGTCCGATAACTGGCAACCCACCCAACGTGCACAGTGTGAGGTCTCGCAGCAAGCTATCAAATACGGCGCATTTCTCGGCTTTAAAAAAAACCCCGCTATGCGTCGCCAGGTGTTTCATCGGATTCGAGGTGTTACCTCCTTTGACAGTATCACAGTATCAGCTTAAAGCACTTGTTGCTGCTGAGTTTGCATATTTTGCTGTGAAGTACAGCCAGACTTTTGACCGCTTCGCCTTTGACATTTTTAATCTGTAGCTCTGCTCTAACTGAACGTACGTACCTGGCCCCGCCTACTATCCTCGGAAACGTAAAATGATTGGCTAGAATCTAAAGTGTATCACAGCTCAGGGAAAAAAAAAGCACCGAAATGTGCGCTGCTTTTCGGTCTGGTTACTACCGTTTATGTCAGAATGGCACCGGACACCGGTACCCATCCCTAGTTATAACAATATAAAAACATCAATCCTCACATTTTAAAAAGACAGAAATTGAAGTAATTGTTTGATAAGCAATCTTCTTTTCAATTGAAGTTTTCCACGAAGTCTTTCAGCTGCAGGTTTTCCTAAGTTATCAAATTCCAGGACAAGCATACAGCTGTTCTAGGAGCTCCGTGAGGCTGTACATGGGCGCAGCCGCGCTTTCAGCTAAATGTCAGCTACTAAAAAGTTACATGTTCACCAGTAACCTTGAACCTCTCTCTCTTTTTCCTGTTCCTTTCAGATTGACGGGGCCCTCTGGTTATCTGACTGACGGTCCAGGAAACTACAAATACAAGACCAAGTGCACCTGGCTCATTGAGGGACAGTAAGTACAGACAACGCCATGGGAAAGCAAGTTCTTCTTCAGAGGCGCCGAATTAATTAGCTCAGAACACATTTGTTCCACGTCCTAAATAGCACTAGCAATAGGAGTACTTTTTCAATTGAAGTTTAACAGCTTTGAATATATTATATCATCCTGGATTGAAAAAAACAAACAAAAAACCATTGGGAAAACTGGCACAATCCTGTTGATCATTAGCTTTGCCATTAGGGGAAACAGTGGGAACAGTGGGAAGGAACCCTAAAAACGTTGAGACTGATGGGATTAGGATTGTGAAAACTGAGGCCGCAACTCAATATTGCAGGCGGGATTTATAATGATTAGTTTGTGCACAGTATACATTGCAGACTCCTGCTGTGCTCCAGCCCCTGGTAATGTGGATAAAAATGAATGGCAAAGCAAGTGTAAGAAATCCAATAGCCTCCTTTCTCTATCGTTTTAGTCAGCACATCCACGCCACCGAGTATCGATTTAAAGCGACGATTCTTGATTTTTTTTTATTTTTTTATTTTTTTTTTGGCTTCGAGCTTATCCAAACTTTAAACCCGCCGCTTGCATTTACATTCCAGGCAGATAGCCAGCACGCTCATTCGGGGGAAGGCGGGGCTAACTAAGAACGAACACGTAAGGCTCAGGAGATCGCGCTTCTGCTCGTCGTGCACATCTTACATAGTTTTGAACTTCTGACCTTCGTTTTCCCGGATGGCTTCTCTAATCACCATGTCACCCTGCCGTCCAGTGTTTCATTACATACTGATGGCTCATTTTATATGCCATCTTGAGACTTCAGCCCATCTTCAACAAGAGGTTAATGTAGTGACATATGCGCTATATGCGTCACACTGACAAGAATACTGTTGAAGAGGTTTTATGGGCTTCAGATATGCTCTCACTTTGAACCTTCAAAAGCTCCCTCTGCAGCTAAGTGTAGCGAATCCATTTCTAGTGGCTTGAAGTGACTTTATCTCCTGAAAGGCAATGAAATAACTACTAAAATGTGGCTTTGCTCCATGCCTTGCTCAAAGGGGTCCCAGTGCTTCCTACAAAAATAAGGGCTTACATTAGATTAACAATTTACCAGTCACAAGTCCTCTGTACTCGAACCCCAGGGGCTGCTGCCATTCCCCAGTTTGTCTGCTAGGTCATTAAGGAGGAGCCATCGCTTCACTCTAATAAATATAATTATAAAGAGAAAAATGTGACTATTCATAACACATCCTGTATGTCTCAGTTTCTCATCGTAGATGCACTGAATGGGTCTTTGTCTTCTTCCCTCCTCTTTTGAATGATTTCATTTAGCCATGTTTCCCCAAATTTAGAGCAGAGTTTGTTTTTTGTTTTTTAAAGGATCTCATGAATGTCTTCAATCAAAATCAGATTAAGCCAGCTTTTTTCCTGTTTTGCTGAACACTGCCCGTGCATAAAAACACCCGGCCACAGATACTTGGTTTATTCACTGTCTCTGTAGCACACATTGTGCAACAGCGAAACTTGTCTGCCATATAATTCGCTTGATGTAATCGTGTTTTGCTGGTAGACTAAATAACTGGGATGCACACCGCAGTACGGTTTTTACACTTGATACGGAAAACATAGCCAATTTGTGCAGAACACTGCAATGTGATTCGAATATAAAGGTGTAGTTGGTGGTTGGCCACACACAAACGCTAGTAAAAATGTTGCTGTAGGTGGTGACTGTTTCTACCATATCACCCAGTTAATTATCCACCTTTTATTGTCCTGAAAGTATCATTCCACAAGTTCAGCTGTTGGAAGAGTGCAAAGCTAAATGTGACCCAGTCAACAAGGAAATATTTTTTATTGCACATAATAAAACTATGTAAAAATCTAAACAAAGCAAAAACCTTAGAGTAGGTCCTATCTAATAAAAAATTACACGTTTCCTGGAGAAACTGTTTGTTTCCAAACACAATTAAGTGCAATGGAGTGGAAACGTTGGGGCACCTCTGGTCAAATGTTCTCTTAGTGTGAAAACCACAGACAGGAGATGATTTCCAGAGGGCTTAAAATTGAAGTCTGTGCATTTCGTTAATTGTAAGCAAGATTGATTCTTTATTTCTGTCTTTTACAGTTTTGAATAACAGTGTGCAAAGTTCCCAAAGCGCTACTTCTTCAGGACTTACAGCCATTTTTCTAAGTATCTTAGCTTGCAGAGATTTTCTGTAGCCAGAAGAGTCACATGATTCCTGTTTAGTTAATTTTTGTCTGGTGGCCTTGAATGCACTTCTCTTTTGTTGTCTGGCAACTTTTTTGTTTTTTTATGACATGTAATTCAGGACACTGTGAGAGGCGTGCCAAAACCTTCAGCTTGTGCTTGTTAAGTAGTCCATTCCAGGGTTTTGATGCGTTTAAGATTATAATGCTGCTGTTGCCCTGTTTTGTTTTGTTTTTTTATCTTTAGCGATTTTACATTTGGTATGTTGATGCTGTGATTTTTAGAGGCTAGCCTCAACACAAACCCATAGTTATCTTGCAATGGGATCACAGCACTGAGAATAGTAATGCTGCATGCTTCTTTAAACATAATGCAGGTACAAAGCTCTTTAACTGGACACGCCACAGGCCTCGTTACCACCAGCGTTTGTGTGCGTGCCATTCTGTCTGTCTGTAAACACGATAGCTTAGCGTTTTGGGTGAATTCTGTGAAAACTTTGTAAGCATGTAGAGCTCATGTTACCAGTCTATTCAAATATGGCTCACATCCACCAAGGGCAAATTATTGATTTATTGGTCAAAAATTAACATGAACTAGGATTCTTACACGCGAGTCTGTGTGTGTGATTGAGCGTGTATTTATATCTTTGTGGGGACCAAAAGTTGGAAGTTCACTATACTTGTGGGGACCAACACCCCTTATGGGGACAAAAGTCCAGGTCCCCACTAGTTTGAAGGCATTTTTGAGACTCAAAATGTGGTTTTAGTGTCAGGGTTACAATTGGGTTATTGTTAGGTTTAGGGTTAGGGTAATATAGAAAGCATTGTATAAAGATTTGACCTCTTCTCGACTTCTCCTTCAAGGTCAAAGTGAAAATAATGGAATGTAGAACTCTTTAAAACCACGTTTTGTATTGACACCATATAGGCATACAGGGCCGATATATGGGAATTAAATATCCTGTTACTTTGGACTTCTGACCTCTTCTACAAATTCAAATAAAGGTCTTATCTTCAAAACTGCTTTAATGCTGCTGCCTTTGTTTAGATTGGTAACATTTAGGAAGTGATACTGATATATGGGGATTATAAATATAATATTATAGTTTGGATCCAAATATCACCTCAAGATGGGTTCGATCTTTAAAGAAGGTATTTTTAAGACAAAGAGAATGAGCTGCCTCGTTAGTTAGAACTATACTGTGGTATAATATTATATAATGGGCTGAAATAATTCATGCCCAGTTATTTGCAGATTAATACCTCTTATCCATTACCTCCTTCACCTACAGTAAACATCTGTCATGCTGTACTTATCTGATTTTTACTGCACTGCAAACTTAAAGTACATTTTAAAAGAACAAAGAAAACCAGATGAATATGTAAAAGGTAAAAAAAATTCTGCCCAGAGAGTGAGCTTCCTTGGCGAAGGTTTGCGCTCAGACAAGTTTGGATCTGCTAACCTAAAAATCTTGCGAGCAGTTCCCGACCTCTGCTCAAAGAAATGGATATCTGAAAAAGACCGGCTATCTGTTCAGGCTTGTATGTCTGGTCTGTCTTCGACTGCTCGGCATAAGGTTTGACATGTATGTAGCTGTGAGGTCTGAGAACTTGTCTGTGTTTTACAGGCCCAACACCATTCTGCGATTACGGTTCAACCACTTTGCTACTGAATGCAGCTGGGACCACCTCTACGTGTACGACGGCGACTCCATCTATGCGCCCCTTCTGGCGGCTTTCAGGTAAAGCTTCAAATATGTGACAGGCTTGCAACACGCTTAAGTATAAATGGTAATAAAAACACCTTAAACTCTTCTTTTGGGTTATTATTGTAGCGGTCTGATTGTTCCTGAGCGATATGGGAACGAGACCGTCCCGGAGGTGGTGTCTCAATCTGGCTACGCCCTGTTGCACTTCTTCAGCGATGCTGCCTACAACCTGACCGGCTTCAACATTTCCTACCGGTGAGAGAATCTCTGAAAAAACAAAGTACCACATCCTGCATTTTCTTATTTATTTTTAAACAAACAAGGATTCGGCTTTCGCTTCAGGGAAGTCGAGGTTTCTCCGCTGACTGGCCAGACCACAAAACAAATACAGAAACTAGATGTGTTGTTGGCTTCGTCTGTCATTTTTTTTCTTCTTCTTCATATTTGATATTTTAGCTGGAGTGGCAGCTCCTGCATATCGACTTGTTCATAATCCTCTGAGCTGACTGTGCAGTCCTGTCATGCCTCAGGGTTTGCAACTCTCGGGGTCCGCAAATGCGTTCGTGTTGTCAGTCACTCGATAGAAAGTATCTACTAAATGACAAATGCCTGGATACTGAGCCCTGACAGGAGAGCCTCTGTGCAAATCATTTCTGTTTCACTGGCTGAGATTAATTTAGGTGAAGGGCCCACTTCACACCCTTCCTTGGGACACGATGACGCATACAAACCTCTCACTCGCTACGTGATTCAGCCGGTGTGCTGGCACGATTGGTGGAGAGCATTTTAGCGGAGGATCATGTCAGGTTACTGCCGTCCATTTGCTGCAGTGTGTTGTTGCAGCATCAGTACTCCTGTTATTGTTCAGACACACTGTGGCACTTTTGCTGTCTTTTTGTTTGTGTAACGAATATGTGGTTCCTCCCTGCTTTTCAGGGACTGGACGGATAGAGTGGCCATACTAACACGCGTGTTATTAGCCGCTGAACATCTCATCATGTAATGCAACCATTGATTTTATCTAAGCTTAAGATTTATTATTGGCATTTTAACTTTTTATTAGACTGTTAGACTAGTACAAAGGGTTTACAGGAGGGTGGGAGGGGAGAAATAACACTGAGGAACTGCTGTAGGCCTTCAGTGTATGGGTTTCCTGCTCAACCAGGTGAGCTATGTTGGTGCCCATTTGATTTATTTTTCATCTTAAACTGTCTCCATATATGTGGCATTGCAGTCGTTTGTCAATTTATAATGAATTTGTTACAAAAAATAAATAAAAGTAACGGAGATAAGTAATTAAAAAGCTTGAATGCCCATTTTTAATCCGCCTAGTTTCCTCTGCTTGTCTAAGCAGAGTCAGATGCGGGATCTCTTGCATGTTTACTTCTTCTTTAGCTGTCTCATAGCTGTCGGTGAGGGTTGGAGCTTGGATTGGCTTGTAAACTGAACTGTTTTCCTCTCAGCTCACCTCTGTGTTCAGCATATCTGCCGGGGACATCAATGCTGATGCAGCACCCTGGCTGACTTTTATATCTTTTATCTTATGCTCTGACTCTGTGTTTGGTTTCCTAGAGTTGCACTAATTTAAGCTGAAAGTACTGCAAATATTATTATACATAAGTAAAAGGAGTGAACTTTTAAGGCCGCTCTTTGCCTCTGTCAGTACTTTGGGCCTATGCCAGCAGTTCATTTCACTCCTCTTTAACATGCTTTTAATGGCTCCATTTGGTGTAGTGTAATGATGCTGCTCTTTGCTCTGCAGTCTGGTATCGACGCTGTGTGCAGGTCCAGAGTTGAGTTTCTGTATTACTTATAGTAACTATGCTACATTGCATGATTAAATATTATAACCTGAAATACCTGAGGCAGAGCAGAGGCCAAATGTAATGGGGACACACCTAAAAAGGTTTGATCAACACACCAGCAAACAGCTGACAATGCAGAAAACAAACAGCTGTGACAAAATTATAAAATTAGATTGTGGATCCACGTTCATGACTAACCTTACTCTTTACCCCTTGTTTGACACGAGCCATTACAGATATTCATATTGTGGATGCCTCTGTCTACAAAGCAAAAATCTTCTTATATATGCCTCTTTTTATTCCAGACAGAAGGTTTAGCATAAGTAACACATCCATATGTGGGTTCATCATTACTAAACTTCAGATTTATAAGGGGGGGGGGGAAATGCTTTAAACATTGTAAACAATTGTAAATGGCACAGTAGACCTCTGCTACAGTCGCCATAGCAATGGGACTGATGTTGTGCTGAGGACAGCTGGATGAAAGCAAAGTGCCCCCCTTTCCCAACCCCCCCCACCTGCAGTCCTTGGTGTCTGGGAGAGGTGGAGGAGCTGAAACATCAAACCATCTGGCACCGCAGGAACATGAAAGAGTCACGAGCGCCTTTTGTGTCATCGCTCTCAACAAGTGTGTTTGCAGGAGGAAAGAAACGAATGCCTCTCTGTCCACCTTTGATTGGTAATACTTGTTTGTTTACGCTTAGGACCGAGTCTTCCTGTTTTTATTTATTTTATTTTTCTCCAGTTAGTAGAGCAGTGTTTTAAGTAGTGTCTCATTTTGTGATATGGTGTTTGTGCAGGAGCTTGGTGCTTATTTCACTGATCTGCAGCTGTGTTGTACAGATGCATTTAATCTGTTTAAGCCTCTGCTGGCCACACAACACAATGTGGTATCCCTAGGCTTCGGTGTACACCTGTAATGCTTCAAATGAAGACAGATGTTTATCTTATTAAAACTATATTCTCATTCATTATTTGTTAATACACTGGCATGCAGCATGCATACTAATATCCAGTTATAACTGTATACCTCTGCACCACAGGACAGGCATTTGCATCTATTCCTCAGCAGCCAGCTGCCACAGTATGAGATACTTGCTTACTTTTAGTGGATGGAGTGAGTGCTGATTCCTAACTAATTCATATTTTGATGTGACTGAAGAGTTGCCTCAAACTGTCATTGAGCTGTTATAATATAAGGAGCCTGTTTGACATTGAGAGCACCGGTGTTACAGTTCTACTGCAGACTGAGTGTGTTTGCCATCTGCTCTGCAGTGCCTGGGGAAACTTCCTTTGCCTCAGCTTCTAGCTCAGTGCTGTTTGAGTGTAGATATCCCTCTGAGATGACTGGCAAGTGTTGAGACAGGTGCTTGACCACCCGATGAGGGAAGGACGATGCCAATAACAATACATTCTGCTTTCTTGAGGGGGGGGTGTTGCATATTTTAGCTTTAAGCGTGGAGACAGAGGCCACAGAATCAGAAGTAATGCAGTTGCTGAAAGGGTTTCCTGATGTTTTATTCAGGGTCTTTAGATCGAAATTCCAGTTTCTCTCTCTGACTGTTTCCTTCTCTTTCTACCTTCCAAGAGTGAACACCTGTCCTAACAACTGCTCTGGCCACGGAGAGTGTCATGTGGGGAACTCCACTTCTTCTGTGTACTGCGAGTGTGAAAATTACTGGAAGGGGGAAGCCTGTGACATCCCGTACTGCCTGGCTGACTGCGGGGAACCTGAAAGAGGCAGTTGCAAGGACAAGACCTGCATCTGTACGGCTGGGTGGCAAGGTAGGGCTGGCAGCTTGGCGGGAACACTTTAGCAGATGTGCGACTTCATCTTCACATATGCTTTGCTGGTGTTACTATCCACAGCAAGTTGGCCTCAGCTTTCTCATACAACCCAAATCCTCCCAAGGGACTAAAATAAGCCTTCGACTGGCTATCAACAATGAACAGTGACAATAAACTTAACAGTATGTCCGTCAGGTGTGATCAGGTACCCAGACTGTCACACTCATTTAATAAAAGCGGGAATAACTGTGTTTAGATCTTAATGAACAAATCACAGCAGGATTATTGTTATTGAGTTCTCTCTTTGGTCACCCAACCCCCCCATTAACTGAAGAAGGCTGGTTTTTGTACAGTCTCGGTATAAATCAACATTTTAAGGAGATATCTAGCCTAAATCGGGGCTGTCAAACTTAAGGCCCAGGGGCCAGAATTGACCCAAAGACTCCGGTTCACTGGACAGCTTTGGATATTGAGAAGGACGGATAAAGACTTCCCCCATGGCTGTTCATACTACACCAAAGTAATTAAACTTCTTGGTTAAATACTTAGTAGTATAGTTAGTTAGATACTGAGCTAAACTTCAGACTGTGAGAAAGGAGAGTTTCACTGGTCTGCATGACAGTTGTTTAGCCTGTTATAGGTAATGAAAAGACCGTCTTTGGCCTACATGCTGAGACTTTTAAGGTACCAGTTAATTCTGATTCATGTATTTTTCTAACCTTTTTTTTTTTTTAACCATATCAGGACTTTGTGTTGATTTCTAAAAGCAAACTCAGTGTAAATTAGAGGAAACCTCAGTGCAGTCGAGCACTGAGCAGCTCCAGCAGAGCAGTTGGAGGTTTAGCAAAGAGAGTGTTTTCTTTCATCCGTCCAGATTTTGCCTGTTTATCTGGTGATTCAAACCGGGTCCTCTTTAAGCTTTAAGCCTCCCGCGCTGTTATTGAGGTTTCTGCAGCCCCCACGGCATCCATCTGCCGTCACCCGATGGACTTGAAATGAACTTTTAGCACGATCAGCTTCCTCATAGTTCTGGTCGAGTCATGACTATTCACTTATTTTATTTGGTCATGACCCGACGCCGCTGTATGCTTTTTTTTGTGTCGGACCATATGGCCCCTCTAACCGCTCTGTTAGTTCTTAAACAGCTTCACTGCGCTGCCTTGCACAAGCAGAGACAACGGCTTAATTTAACCGCAGTTATATCAGCAGCGCAGTGTGCTCACAATCTAATTACCAAAGCTGAGGGAGTTGAGAAACAGACTGGCGTTTTTCTTTAGCCTTTATTACCCTGTCATGGTGTTTTAGCAGAGGAATAGCACTCTTGGTGTACTTTATGCTGCCAGCTTCCAAATTAACTCATTTTCTACACCAGGCAGTGCAAAAAGCAGAGACAGATGCTTGTTGAGTCAAGCCACCCCGGTCTTTAATCTCTCTTTCACAGACTCATAGACTTAAAAAGTAACATGTTTCTAAAGGTGGTAACACCGTGTTTGTTTTTATTTATGGAAATGCCACTGTGGTGTGAAAGTAATGTTGTTATTTAAGCACTGCAGGAAGAGGTTTGAGAATATTAGCTACTGGGGATTCATTTAGCTGCTGAACAAAAAGCAGAACAAGTAAAGTGACCTTGATTGTCGGAGTGAAGCAGAGAACTTCCTTTCCTGGCACACGGTCGCATGTGTAATGTTTTTAGTCCAGCGGTGAACATCCGGTTTGTGTTGTGGGGTAGAGCGATGTGCGCTAAATGGTTGGTAAATGTTTTATTCCGATGAGGATTCATCTCATCGGGTAGGATGGACGGACTGTAGATGAAAAGGGTCATCAAAGAGCCCTCTGACCCGGCCGCTGCCTGCAGGATTGACAGGAAAAGGCCAATCTTTGTATTCCTGTCCTGGTCTCTGTTTGCCAGAAAAGTTTTCCCTTCATTCAGGAGCGATTCCGGTTTATGGTGGCTATATTGTTCTCGTCCATAAACAGAGGAAGGCAGCTCTGGCCACAGCCATCTGTCTTTTTAAAGATTTATTTCAGTGAAAACAATGAAGCTTTAATAGTTATGGTTTCCTTAAAGAATAGTCTCCACCATTAGCTAAAGCGTCTGCATCACGTCAGTGTTTTTCTGAACTCCAAAAACTTTATGATCTAGTTTATGGCAGCACGCCTGCTTTAACCTCTTTCTTGAAAGCTCTGTGACAATCAGGTAGATTGAAGCAGAGGTTTTGGCAAAAAATTAGCACGTAAGGAGAACTCGCAGTCACACTGTTACTGTCAAATAAATAACTAGATGGGAGTAAATGTGGGAAAAATATATTCTTCTGCATGTCCCCAATGTCTTTTCCTTGGCTCTAAATGAATAAAATCCTTGGAAGTTTTATCCTCTTAATGTGAAGACTTTTTCACAAACAAGCAAACAAATTTGTTTTCTGCTTCTTGCTTCATGCTGATTTTATTTTAGTACAGTCGTATTTTTTATGTCCTTGTAAAAGTAGAAATTAAAGGAATGACCTGAGTTAACCAAGCCTCCTACATCGGCGAGTTTCCTGTGGAGCCTTAAACATGTGGTTTTTCCCTCCCCTCTCAGGTCCTGACTGCTCCGTCTCGGTTCCTGCCAATTCCTCTTTTTGGAGCCGAGAGGAGTACACCGAGGCCGGGCTGGCCAGGGCTTCCCACAAGGCTGTAGTTGAGCTGGGCGTCATGTGGGTCATCGGAGGCTACGTCTTTAACGCCTCCGACTATCACATGGTCAAAGCGTAAGTTGACTCCCCCCAGCGAACATCTTCGCTTTGATTTGTAGGCATTGGCTGCAGCTCTCGTCCAAAAGAGCTGCGAGACACTGGTTCTCCTTGTTGCTATGCGACTGCAGGGTTTGTTCTTTTCAAACACAGTGTCTTTATTGGAGAATATTTGAGTATTTAAAACTTACGCCCAGTGTACTGAGGGCTAAAGATGTACTTGGCTGTCAGGAAGAAGCCGCAGGACTTCCCGCCTCCTGAAAATCAACATGAAGAAGAACACAGCTCCGTACAGACAGTGTGTCTTGGACACAGACGGCATGTAATTAAAACCATAAAATTACAGCACTGGCTCAAAGTTATCACCCTGAACTCCACCCAGGACAATCACACACATGCCCTCGGCTCAAGTTTTGGTTTATTAGATTGCCTGTAAGCCAAGGTGTGGTTTTTTTCTTCTTTTTTTCCCTAAACTTAGGTCATGTGAAACTATAAATGATCATTTTGTCCGCCTTGCACAACCTATTTAATTGAATTAGAACACATATATAATCCCCCTAAGTGTAACCAGTTACCTTGTACCCAGTGTAACAATGCTTTCTTACTGTTATACCTGAACATAAGATCCACTTTGATTGCTGGCCTACTGTCAGGCCTTGGCGATCCAGATATTTGTTATACACGGGTATCTGTCAAAGGTGCTGCAATCTTATTTTAATTATTTATTTATTATGACCCTTGAGTTTCCAAAGCAGAGGTCCTAAAACACTGAACTACCAGGTTGCCTAAACAAGCACACATCCCTCAAATACTGTCGAATTTTGGAGATTTATTAAATCAAAGCACATTAACATGTGAAGACTTGAAGCCTTATGTTTGCTTGCTCATCTAATGGCCTTTACTTTACAGTAAAAGTCCCTTAAAGTGATGTTGTAATTTGGCTCTATATGACGTAAAATGATTTGAATTCAACATTTGGTTTCTTCAAAACTCAAAATGTCATGAACCGTGACAAGATTCCAAACAAATATCGTGGGATTGAATGAAGCGATCAGTTTATATTCCGAAGGCCGTCTTGCTGCGATGCCCTTACGTGCTGCAAAAACATTGTTTGGCCAGTACTACAACAACATAAGTCAGGAACAGAAGGAGAGATCGATGTAAAACTGGAACTTAAAAGGCTGGCAGAGGCAAAAGCAGCGAGGCAGTAACTCTAATCTGTTTGCTGCAGGGCCGGCATTTACGATCACACTTTAAATCAGCTAAATGCATAATCTCATGCAGCGAGTCAAGTGATTAATAGAATCTTTGCTGTGCTTTGTTTGGTTACTTTGTGAAAGACTTTGAACACTTTCATATACAATTTTAAAGCGAGCTGGGAAATCCTTCTGTAAATCTGAGCAAAGCCGCTTCTTCGTTCCTGCAGGTATAACGTCAGCAGCAAGACATGGATGAGCCTCGACCCCTCCGTCAACACTGTCACACCACGATACGGCCACTCGCTAGCCCTGCACGAGGTATGTGAAGCTAAAGTCGTTGAAAGCACAAAGTGAGTGTATGCTCTTAACTACATCTTCGTGCTGCGGTGCATTTTACAAATCTTACAACCTCCCTATTCTTTCTCTATGCCTTTTAGATAACCTTTTGTTATCTGCAGCTTGGATATAAATAAATCTCAGGGTGTTTTTATGCAGAAATGAGGCAGTTTACTCTCTGCAAAAATACTTTTAGGGATTTCTGGTGGAATAATAACAAGAGGAGGAGGTCCATTGATGATTAACAAACAGAATTTAAATCATTTTAATTTACACGTCATGTACCATGACGTCATACTCTCAGGACATTACTCATAACGGATTTATAGAAAACTGAACATGATGCCTCAAAAGGTCTGTTTCGTTAAAATTATATGATGCATTTAAAAAAAAATGTTTTGGCCTTTATGTGATAATAAAACAGTGAATACAGATTGGTAGGTGGGGAGAGAGAGAAGTGGAAGACACACAGCAAAGGGCCATAAGCCGGACTTGAACATGGCCACGTGTCATATGGTTGAGCTAAACTGGCTCCTGCATTAAAATAAAATTCCCAACTTGGCTGCACCTACGTAAATGTTCATCATGTCTACTTTTAGTCTGGAGCCAACACTGTCAAATGGCCTGCTCTTAATTTGAAGAGCCATTATTCTGTGTGACCTCCAGGCCATCTTCAGCTTATTCATAGGAGAAGGCGAAACAGCAGTAGGCGTATTGTGTTATTTTTGTTATATCAAACAAGACATGAAAATAGTCATCAATTTGTTGGATTATAATAATTCTTCTTATATGTAACATGCAAGCGATACAGACTCTGTAGTGTTGTTGCCGTGAGTTATTCCAATGAATTATAAGAAAGTTTAACTTAATTTGTTAGCAAAATTCTGCAAAAAGTCTTTGGAGTGTGCATATAATCCTGCTTCACTCTTTGTTCCCTCCAGGGTAAGATCTACATGTATGGCGGAAAGATCGATGCTACGGGAAATGTCTCCAGCCAGCTGTGGGTTTTCCACATCCAGAATCAGACCTGGGTCCTTTTAAGCCCCAGGGCCAAGGAGCAGTACGCCGTGGTGGGACACTCTGCCCACATTGTGCCTCCTGTCCACGAGGGGGACGGTCCCGTCATGCTAGTTCTGTTCGGGCACTGTCCTCTGTACGGTTACATCAGCCAGGTGCAAGAGTACAACATTGGTAGGTTTTAGGCACTTGTAAGAATGTGGTCAAACTAAACTAAAAATATACATGTTTATGAAAAGAGAGTGAAGATGCTTAAGAGGTCTCGTCATCATCTGAGACGCAATCTGCCTGAGAAAACGGGGTGAATTTAATTGCTGCTGTGGCTGATGGACAAGAGCACATTTTTAAATTTGGATGTTATCTTTACCTGAGCTATCAGCAATAAGAAGTGATGGCAGTCTGATACGTCTTTCACACACTGCAAAGCCCAGCAGTAATGATCTCTAGTAAAAACTCTTGTATTTGAGTATTTCATTACATTGTGAAAACTTGAATTTAGATTTTAATTGTCCAGTAAAATCCTATTATGTGACCCTCCAGCCAAGAACACATGGAGCATCGTGTCCACAGATGGTGCCCTGGTCCAGGGGGGCTATGGCCACAGCAGTGTGTTTGACCCCAGCACCAGAGCCATCTACATCCACGGAGGCTACAAAGCCTTCAGCGCCAACAAGTATGGCCTAGCAGGAGACCTTTACAAGTTTGATGTGGGCAAGAGGAAATGGTGAGAGATTTTCTGTTTTGTTATGAAATATGCTTGCTTAAATGCTACAGTAGCAGGGTTTTCACACATGTACTGCACCTCTGATCATACCCAGCACAGTTACGTGCGAGAGTGCAAGCAGTTGGATCGGAAATATGCAGTCAAACTACAACCTCCTGAGTACAAAGTCGGCATGATGTGAATGTGTGGGTGTGTGAAAATCCCAGGTAGCAGTCTGGAGCATTTACAGCTAGCAAATGTGCATGACGTGTCCTGCCTGCGTGCACGCTGTACCGCAAAAGTTTTTTAAGTAGCGTGAACACGTCTGAAGCTGGCCAGCAACTGCGGAAAATATGTCGACCTGATAAGCCCCCAAATTATTTTTAATTATCACTTTCCAAACCTTTCACTGTAAGGATATGCAGGTACTTAAATGCCATTTACATTACAGTAATAACTTAAATACACTGCCTTCTTTTACTGACTTCCCCTTTTCTTCAGCTGATACCTTTGTAAAAACTATTTTGGTAATCAGCACTTTGACCTTGCAGAGATTTCGCCTTATTTTGATAGAATTAGTCACAGAAGTGCCGCGCAGCCTTCACATGTCTAAACCTCTGCTAATGGCAGGAGGTTGCACTCTGCGGATGAAGCATCTTTGAACAAGCCAAGGTTCAACATTCAGTACTTAAGGCAAAGTTTTGCATGTGTAAGGAAAACAAACTTAACTCTCTTGAGTTACAAAAAGCGTTCACGTGACGACATTTTAAAATGAAACTCGCTGGTGCTCTGAAAATAAGGGCCGTGTGGCGTTCAAGTGCTTAACAACAATCCAAACTGTGGCTGTGCAGGACCATTCTGAGAGACAGCGGCTTCTTCCGGTACCTCCACACAGCAGTGATGGTTAGTGGGATGATGCTGGTGTTTGGTGGGAATACCCACAACGACACCTCCATGAGCCACGGCGCCAAGTGCTTCTCATCGGACTTCTTGGCCTACAATTTAGGTCAGTAAGACACACAGACTTTTTCCTTTCACTAAGGCTCTTTGCTTACACCCATCTACATGCATTCATACCTGAGAGCTGCTTAGTACAGCGGCAGGCTTCTTGTTGTCACTAGGAAGCTCCACTGGAGCAACAGAAGGTCAGATTTTTGCAACTTGCAGACTCAATAAAAACACATCTTCTATTCATAACTGGAATAAAATAATAAATAAATACTCATAACGAGATGTTGTCAAGCTTTCCAGCACTGGTGTTTTTGTCATATTCACACTAGCATTATTATGCTGGATCTTGGTATAAAAAGAGAGAAATTAAAGCTAACTGAGAGAGTGAAGGTGCTTTTTGACTTCTCACTTTATTTATGTGCATAACAATCCTGTTCTTTATAATTCTTAATGCTTTGGAAAAGCTGAATCCTGTGGGGTTTTGATTTCAAAATATTTATTGTTCCTCCAGATAGCTTTTGATTTTCACCGTTTCAGAAGAAACACTTTACTTTAAATTACCAGTCGAATGAGTTGGCGCTTGGAATTACTCCTCCACTAAGGCGAGAGCTCTGGCAGAAGTACGCAATACGCACTCTTTGTTTGTCAGCGAGATCAAAAACTGCAAAACTGCAAACGATATTTCATTAAAACTACCTGCAAAGGGGGAGCATAGGAAGAAGGGGGGGAAAAAAAGAAACGATCCATAAAGTTTTGATGTGGCTCTGGATCATCTTTAAAAGGTGAAAATTGGGAGTTTGCCTTGGCTAGGGATGCAAACTTTGTCCGTTTGCCCAGACAGTTAGTTTGTTTCTTGAAGTTCGGGCTTTTGAAATAATATCGCCTAAGTATTTGGAAGCTTCTAGCTCTTTCCTTTTGCTCATTTCAACATGACGGTATTAGGAAGTCTGTGGTGTTAGCCCCGCCCCTGGAAGGGTGAGCACGAGCAGGTTTTGTTTTGTGTTTTCTTAAACACCTGACATATGTAGTTAATTGTCGTCTGGGATTTTTCTCAGACGCAGTCATACTGGTTTACCAGTGATTGTACTGGAAGGCACACAAAGGTGCAAAAAAAGAGCCACTCCTTTTGAGTGGCTTTAAGGGCTTTCCTGGACAAAACGGGAAGTCGCCCCCAGTAAGATCCAATCCTCTAACCCAGCGGTCCGCAGCCCCGGACCCGGGGGCTGGGGACGGAGTCGTTTGGTACTTCGCTGCGAGAGTTGAGGCTTGGGTGTGAAATTTATGGTTCTCAGGGTTTTCATCACCAACTCTTTCCCTGGGTCTTTTCCTGTGTTGTAGTTGTGTGTATTATTTTGAAAGAAATATTTACGTGATACCATAGCGACCAGAGAGAGGAGGACGTTACTCTCAATGTTGTTGGTGCATTTCAGGAGGACGCTGCTAATAAAGTTACACAATTATACAGTGAATTTGCGTTTAATATTATATTTACAAAATACCACCGTTTTTGTCTTGGTCGTATCATTTTATTTTGTTGTATTTATCCGCGACACCTTAAAGGCCGGTCAGTGAAAACATTGTCTGACATTAAACCGGTCCGTGATGCAAAGGCTGGGGCCTGCTGCTCCAACCTACCTGCTGTGAGGGAGTTATGATATTAAATCAAATTTTAATTAGTGTGTCTGATGTGCACTTCTCATACAAATTAGTGACATAAAGGAAAACCTGGGCTTCAGGGTTGAAAACTAGCAAGTTCAATTTCATGGACCTTCCCCTCCAAGCTGCTCTGTGAGGATTTCAGGGTGTCGGTAAAGCAGGGTGGGCATTCCTACTCATAGCTTTGGGGACATAAACTATATTTATTCGTGTTTATTCATGCAGTCTCTTTTCTGAATGCTATGTTGCAATTCTTCGGGATACCTTAGGTTTGTAAATTATTACTTGACAGCAGAGCCCCTGTGCAGACTGCTGGCAGAGTAGAAAATCAGATTTCTTTCCTTTTACAAGTAAAATACTGAGATCCGAGTTGATTTTTGAGAACTAATTATAATCCTGTTTGAAGTTCTCCTCTTTGTCCTAATGTAAGCTAACACAGCTTTGCCACAAACCATCCCGGCTTCCTCATTTTGTTAACTGCCTATAAACGCTGTCGTAAATTGAGTCTGCCTCCTTCCGCAGTGCCGTCGCAAGCTGCTCATTAATGAGAGACTTCACTCTCTCCGGATGGGAGAATTCCCCGGAGGCAGAAAATTGCCCCGGGACATGTGAGGGTTTGCTGTGTCATTTCCATCATGATTGACAAGCAGTGAAACTATCTCTCAGGGACACACACACAGACACACACACACACACACACACACACACACACACACACACACGTCCTCCGATCTCTCCCAGCTTTTGTTCTCGAGAATTGCAGGTTCGGACTAAACACCCCTTTGTGGTATGAAGAACAGATGATGAGGCAACATGTGCCACATATGTTTAAGTTACCGCATGCTGTGTCTTGCCTGGCGAAATGAGACTAGTTCATCTGACCCTGGCGACAAATTGTTTTTGGGATTTCCCCAGAGATTATTCGAGCCAAACTTTTCGATTTAATAAACTTTAAGCCCACCAACCCCTCCCCTCCTTGTTTCTGACCTCTGCCTGCCACTCCTCATCCTCTCTATGATTTTGTAATTGGACTGAAAGTACTAGCTCACTATATTACTCCAGCACCAGCCAGCTGTAGGGTCGGTGTCAGCAGCCGCAGTGGTAATTAGAGTCAAGATGGCCCCGCGTCGAGAACTAATTGTCTCTCCTTAACAAGCTGAACTCAATTAGAGCATAGAATTCAAGAGCTGTCCACTGTCCTGACATTGGTAAATCGTGTTGTAAAATAACCACCGTGAGGGGCAATGCACCACACCAGCTGCAGTGCCATCCTGTGACACCAGAGGGCACTGTCTGCTCGTGAATGTGGAGCTCTCACAGATGTCCGTCCATCTCCTCTGGGAGACTATGATGACTTGCACTGCATTGTACCGTGTGAATGTGATTTACCACAGTCACTGTGCTGGCTTCTTTAGGCTTTGACTTTCAAGCTCATTCTTTTTTTTCCATTAAGGTTTTATAGCTGCACATACTGCTGCTGCTTTCCATTAAAACAAACATAAAGGAATCAAACCATTCAGTTATTCATTTACCTGCTAAACACCAATATAGAAATTTAGAGGTCATGACATCACGGCGGCTTTCCAGTGGCTGAATTTCAAACTGTAGGTAAGTTGCAGTAAGAATAGAAACATTTCTCCTTTGCTTCATTTTATTAGTTACTAGACAAACAAGTTGGGTAGCACTAGTTCTGATTACAACATCCATATGTGTAACTTCAGACTGACAGATCTGCATATGAATATGCAAAATCTGTGGGTCTGAAGCTTTCTGAGAGCCTAATCGTTTAACAGATTGTGAATTCTTCCACCTGCAAATTGCAGAAAGGACCCAGAATAACTTGTTAGTGTGTCGCAGGTTCAAAACACCCTATTGCAGTTTCCACCACCAAAAATGGAAAGGCCAGGCTTAGAGACATGCAAGTCAAATCCAGGGATACCAGTTCAGACTTCGTTTGAACCATCAGACTGTTGGAAATTGGTCACTTACGTCTGCTTATGTGGGTCAAACAAAACCATCACTGACTCTCTGTCCCCTCCTGCACCTTTTACCTGCCTTTACATTCAGCTATGGCATTCCTCTACCTGTGATCAGTGTCTCAGTCACTTCGGCCATTAGCTTGTCTGACACGAGAAGATGAGCCTCGCTAACCACCCAGAGCATGTCAGCGGAGTTTGCCACAGCTGAAGACATGTATGTTATAACGAGTGGGAGCAGGTGAAGGGTTTAACTTCTGTCTTCTTTTCATTGCAGCGTGTGATGAGTGGACAGTCTTACCTCGACCGGACCTGTACCACGATGTCAACCGCTTCGGACACTCTGCAATCTTCAGTGATGGGTAATCTTTAATTAATGACGTAATTGAAAACTCACCGGATTAAAAGTGGAAAATCCTCTGCAGTACATATATGAATCTCATTAAACATGAGCTCCTGTATGATTTTTCTTCTTCACTCCATTCCTTTCCTGTTTGTTTTATTTATGATCGCTGTGGACTTGTTAGATGGATGATGGAACAACCACAAAACATCAGCAGAGAGGAAATGAGGAACGCAAAAACGTAGAAAGCTGCCGTTTGTTGTCGAAAAACGATTAAAAAGGATTGTTAAGAAAGAGAAGCTGAATTCATGAATGGATGCTTTGGCATTCAGAGTGACAGTTGAGAACAGAACAAGAGATTTTCAAGTATTGGCAGCAGACTTTCTGATAAAAGGGAGTCCTCAGAGTTCCTTTGTTGGCTTAAACCCTTCAAATACACGTCCTTTGCTTGATAGGGGACAATTGCAACACACGTGGGGTTATTGTTGCTTCTTAAATTGTGTTGAATTTATGGTGTAGCATAAGGAAATGGTCTTGCACTATGGCAGCACAGAGCGGGTACAAAGGGGAAACACTTGAAGCAAAGGAAAACGAGCAAACAATGCATCACAGGGAAAAATCAAACCCTTGTTGCCTTGGGAAAAGCTGTGTGGATCCATACATGACATTTCATTATCAGTCTGCAATATGAATAGATTGTGATGGGGATGGTGCTGCGAGCAGAAGCGATGAGTCATCACTAAATATGATCTGCTCTGCCAGCAGAGCAAGACGCTGCGATCCATATTAAATTATACATCCTGTTGTATAGAAGACATTAAATATTAACATTAATCACTACCCCTGTTTGGGGCAGTCCTTATATTACTCATGACTCCACTTCCTTGGGAGCAGTTCAAAGTTTGTTCATGCATTCATTAACTGTTCGAGTTCAGCGCAATCAAAAGTTCACAGCAGTTGAACTGAGCGGTATTTTTTAAAAATGTATTAAATGACGATAAGCAAGTTTACGAGAAGCCGTAATAAGGTTTAAAAAAACAGGCTCTACTGCTGTAGTCCTAAATGTCAGGTTTGAGTTGTTATATTGAAGACAGAGACTGATGTACCTGCTCCACATTAACTTAAGTACTACAGCAAAACTCTCCAAGCATCCTTTGGTCTGAACTTTAAAGTAAAGGATCTGCATTTGCTTTCAGGCCCCCCCCAAAAAACCTGGCACAGTCTTTCCTTTGAACTGTGTCTTGCTATCTCAGTTTCTTTAAATTCTCTGTTAAAAAACAGTTTTCATAATATTTTTGAAAGAAAATGATTGGGAGGGAAAACACACGCTTTCACTATCCGTAAGACTTTTTCTCTACAATGACTCACATCTTTTAAATGAGAAGAAAAGAAAGTGGTTAACTGATGTAGTCCCCTGCAAGACTACCATGTTCTCCTCCTCCCGATCTAGGCACTCAGCAGGATGTCCTCAGCGTGCAGTTTGAAGTGTGCCCTCCACGATCCAGTGGAGTGGGGGTGGCTTTTGATCAGACTTGTGCAAATTACCCATCTACCCGGCCGGGCAGCCTGTGAATGGGTAATTGGTGGATGAGTCTGAGAGCATGCATATGCTTAGGCCCACGCTCGCAGAGTAATCCCAGTAGCTGAACATAGGCCAGTGGAGAAACATGTTCAGAAACGACCTGGACCCATCATCAAAATGCACTCTAACACGCGCACAGTAGGGGGTCCTGTCAGGTCCATCTGCACAGGAAGAGAGCGCTTGTTGGGGATTTAGCAGACTTAAGAGGCAGGTTGAAGCCCAGAGAAGAGGAGAATCACTTAGAGTGTGCAAAAAGGGTTGAAATTGGGCAAAATAGTAAGGAGGAAATTCACTTGTCTTACTTCCTTAATCCCTTCCCTCCTAACATCTATTTCACCTGTAGTCCTCTAATTCCTTTCTTGTGTTCTCCTGCAGCGTTATGTACGTGTTCGGTGGCTTTAACAGTCTACTGCTCCGCGATGTCCTCACGTACACCTCGCCCAGCTGCTCGGCCTTTTCCAGCCCGACGTCCTGCAGCCAGGCCTGGCCAGGAATTCACTGCGTGTGGAACGCCACCCAGGAAGCCTGTCTGCCTTGGGAAAGCGACGTTATCGGCACTGAACAGCAGCAGCAGCCCTCCTGCAACACGAGATCATGTAGGTGACGCTGCAGTTGCATTGAAATGCCGCACGGACGTGACACGTGAAGCTAATCCAAGATAATTTGGGGTTCTCGATGCTTTCCTTCAGTGTGTGCAGAACTCATCTGCATTCGCTTCACTGATGTCCGATGAGATGCATACGCTGCCAGAAACGGCTTGTTTGTCATGGGCTGCCAACACAGTTCCTCACATCAAAGAGGGAAAATGAGCGAAAAAATATGTCACCTGGGTGTTTTCCTCTGTGTGTGCTTGTGCGTGTTTGTGTATGTGTGGTAAGTTTTGGAATGTGGAAAATATGGCCCTCATGCATCATCCAGAAACAAACAGTTATACCTATAACTTCTGTTCCCTGAAGGAGAGGAATGAGGTGCAACACATAAGTATGGAACATATATATGCACCCCATAGAGCAGCCATCAAACTGGAGTCGGACCACCAGCATCACCAGTGTGCAGTAGACCCAGCACAAAGAAGCGGGACAAAGCGGGATCCTTGGTGCTGTATGCCAGTGAGATAGCTTCTATAATCCAGTGGGGCAGCCTCTGTTTAAACAGGGGGGTCTACCTGTAGTCAGATTAGCGAAGCAGACAACTGGTCTCATAAAAGCACATTCTGAGTGCTCTTAATGTTTGTACATAGCACACGTGCATCCTCTTCTGCTTCTTAGATGCAAAAGAAGAGGAGCAAAATCTCAGATGCTCAAATTCCATTGAGCTATAAGATGCAGGAATGACCTTGGGTAAACATGCCGCATTCGGGCACAATACGACCCTGAGGCCATCAGGAGAGAACTGTGTGCAGGAGGGATGCACAGACAGAGCGTGAAGGTCACCTACTCGCTTTTCAGAAGCCAATGGGAGAACCAATGCAGTCTTATATGAAAGGAATTTTGTATACATAGACTCGGTGGGTTCAAAGGGGTCCACAAGGGGGCTCCAGCACCAAAGACCCATGCAGGGACGCTGAACCTAACCACGGGTCTCGGGCGGCAAACCCTTTTACAAAAACTTATGACAAGGAGATGTGCAACTGGTGTCACCCAATCAAAACCAATAAGATGAGCAGATATTGCTGAATCTCCTGCAGCAATGTCAAAATATCCAGAATAGACCACTGGAATGGAGGATTGCGCTGGTCCTAGCACCATTGCTATAAGGTTTGGTTGAGGCCCTAGATTGTTGCTACTATGCTTGCTTATCTATCACATTAGACCTCTCAGCAGGTAAGCATGAAGGCGCCAGATCCGGGCGCGGATGAACCACTTCTCCTCCCACCTGAGAGAGGAGGTCCCTTCAGAGATGAAACTGCCAAGGCCTTGGTGCTAAAAGACTCATTATATCCACATCCATCAAGGGGCCACTAGAATCAGAGAGAGCTGCTGTCGACACACTCTCTCTAGAACTGGAGATATTATTTCCGCTGCGGGAAATGCATACAGGAGCACGACTGGCCACTGGTGCACTAGTGCAAGCATGTTATGTAGATGATGAGATATTCAAGGACTTCACCATCTTATGTTGAGAACATTCTGATTGTTGTTGACAGTTTTTTGCTAATTGGAGAACCTCTGCCCACCTTCTGAGAAACTCTGGCAGTAAAAACAGGAATTGACCTGGTGCTAATTCAATTAATTAGTTGCAAAATGTCCCACCAGCTGTTTCATTTTAGGACCACTAACTTTTTTACTTTTACTTTTTACCAGTCCTTTTTTTTTGCCTCCGTCCCAACTTTTTAAAGATGTATTGCTGCTCAAAATGAGCTAATATAGTAGTACATTTTCCCAGTTTCAACACTGTTTCTGTTCTCTCTACTAAATAAAATCCTGGATTCTGTTTTTGTTTACATTTTGTGTGATGTGCAAACGTGTTTGTTTGGTTTTTAATTGCATTAAGGTTTTATTACATTTTGATTTCTAATTCTAAACACCCCCCAACGCTAACACTCGTGACACTGATGCACCCACACACAACTTCTTACATGTGAGCGTGCGTGTCAGTGAGGTAATCACGAAGGACAGTCCAGCCTTCTCTCTCTGGTTCCTGTTGAGAGTTGTCTTCCGTTTGTTTGTCAGTTGTCACACAAAGAGGAAAACCCAGAAACATCCGTCTTTCTCCTCGGCACGGCTGTCTTATTTTCCGGTCTTGCTTCTACAGCAGTGCTGGCAGATGGAAACCGCTCCATGGCATCTCTTTCCGGCACATTAAATACAAGGGATGCGATCTGGCAGTCAACACTGGATACCACGAAAGAGACGGCAAATGTTTTGACTGAGCTGTGGTTAATGGCAGAAACAGAGTTACTGGTTGCTTTGACTTTTGAACTGACTGGAAGATTTCTGTCTCTGTTCTTATAAATTAAAAAAAATAATGTGCACCCTGTTCTACATTTTGCAGACGGTGATGCTGAGAGATGTGACCAGTATACCGACTGTTACAGCTGCACTGCCAACACCAACGGCTGCCAGTGGTGTTCGAGCCAATGCGTGTCTCTTGGAAGTAACTGCACCTCTGCATCGGTAAGAAAACTTGCTCTCCACCCTGCCCAGAGCATTTGGGGACATCGCATCTAACTGTGTTACATATAGGAGCTGAAGAGGTGCTTCTTATAAGCCTGGGAGGATCCAGAAAGCAGGATATATCAGGTTGTAGAGAAGGGGCCTGCTGGGCTTACTGCCTGCAGTCACCT